TTGTGAAAGGTCTGCCCAACTCATTTAAGCCGTTTGTGGTAAACATTACACAGATGAGCGAAGCCCTAACGTTCAGTGACTTTAAGACAAAGCTGAGAGATTTTGAGGACACTGAACGATACAAGCCAAGCGATATCACAGAAGACAATGTGATGAGAGCAGCGGGGGCGCGCAGCCACCTACGGGCCACAAGGACGAGGCAGAGAGCGGAGGAAGGATTCGGCCGAGATCGAGTGCTACAGATGCCGTAAAATGGGACATGTGGCAAGGAATTGTCCCAGCGCGTATGAGGAGAGGCGACGGGACCGCAGGAGCGACGCGCCACGCCGAGGGGGACAGCGGGACTCCATGGCAGCAGCGACGGGGGAAGAGCAGCAACGAGGAGCCACAGACCGCTGGGAGCGCTGGGCTCGACCCGAGAGGAGCGACAGGGACCAAGAAGGACCCTGCCCCTGGAGCGCCTACAGAGAAGCAGCAGATGATGGAGACGAGGACTACTATGAAGACCACAGGTCGTATTGTTTTAAATTGAGTGACAACAGGAGTTCAAAGGGGGCAGTCGATGTTAAAGGTTTACTAGTCGATTGTGGTGCTACATCGCATATGATAAATGACTTTAAAAAGTTTAAGAACATTGATAAAGACTTTAAGCCTGTAAACCATGTGATTGAACTAGCTGACGGTACCAAGATCACCGGAGTGGCAGGCGCCAGGGGGGATGCAGAGGTCTCTCTGGTAGATAGCCATGGACATAAAGTGACAGCACTACTGAAGAAAGCCCTGTATATACCTACTTTTCCACAAGACATTTTCTCAGTAAAGGCAGCCACAGGCCACGGGGCGGAATTGCATTTCAGAGAGGGTGATAACTGGATGGGTGTTACGGATGGCACCAGATTTAACATTGAGACCCACACTAAACTGTATTATCTACCCACAATTATTGATGCAGACATTGACAAGTTTAAGAGGTGTCACGATATACAGACGTGGCACAGAATACTTGGACACTGTAACTTTGAGGATGTTTCCAGATTGGAGAGTGTGGTTGAAGGGATGAAAATCAAGGGGAAATGTATCAAGTCTGCCTTCAGCTGTGAAGTCTGTATGGAAGGGAAGTTCGTAGATAAGAGAAATAGACAGGCTGATAGCAGAGCTAAACAAATATTACAACTGGTGCATACTGACCTATGTGGTCCTTTGGAGCCTACGGATAGGGATGGGTATAGGTACACCCTAGCCTTCACAGACGACTACAGTGGCATGACCTGGGTCTATTTCCTCAAGGCAAAAAGTGACACTACCAGAGCAACAGAAAAATTCTTAGCTGACACAGCTCCTTATGGCAATGTGAAGATTATTAGATCGGACAATGGGACGGAGTACACTGGTAAAGAGTTCCAGGATCTTCTCATGAAAAATAGGATCAGCCATCAGACTAGTGCCCCTTATTCACCTCATCAAAACGGTACAGCAGAACGAAAGTGGAGGACGTTACTGGACATGAGCCGGTGCATGTTACTTGAAAGTAAATTACCAAAAACTCTATGGAGATATGCAGTGCAGACAGCTGCACATATACGTAACAGGTGCTATAGTAGGCGACTAGGCAAAACTCCATATAATATTTTCACAGGGAAAACTCCAAATATTTCCCATATACTGATTTTTGGTACAGAGTGCTATACTTACAAGCATAATCAAAAGAAATTGAGTCCTAGAGGTGAAAGGGGCATTTTTGTTGGGTATGATAGGTACAGTCCTGCATACAACATCTATTTTCCAGAGACCGGAAGAGTTTCCCGGCATAGACTAGTGAAGCCCCTACTGACACTGGACAGTCAGATATATAGTGACGAAGAGGATGTTGGACTGTATACAGCACCACCAAGGATCGGTGTACATCCCCAGAGCCACCAGATCGAACCCACGGGTGCAGCAGGTGGAGGTACATCACCCACTCGCCAGACCCCTGTTGCGGGGGATGAAAGCGGTGCAAAGTCTGGTATCAAAGGAGATAGTGAGGGGGCACGTCGCTATCCAAGCAGAGATAGACAACCCCCATCATATCTCAGGGATTACCAATGTAAGACGGAGGACGTTGTGGAAGAACAAGACATTGATCACTTTTATAGAGCGGTGTTTGGTGTACCCAAAACCTACACAGAGGCTGTGAGAGCTGAGAGGTCCCATGAGTGGACTAAAGCAATGGAAGAAGAAATGCACTCTTTAAGAGAGAATGAAACATTCTCTCTATGTAAGCTCCCAAGGGGAAAAAGGGCAGTAGGGGGCCGCTGGGTGTTTGTAGTCAAAGAAAGACCTGGTCAGCCTGAGGTTTTCAAAGCAAGATACGTGGCAAAAGGCTACAGCCAAGTAAAGGGGATTGACTACAAAGAGACCTTTTCCCCAACGGCCAGTATGACATCTGTGAGGATATTGATGCAGATAGCAGCCCAAGACGACCTTGTACTTCATCAAATGGACGTGAAAACGGCATATCTTCATGCCCCAATGGACTGTGAGGTGTACATGGAGCAGCCAGAGGGGTTTGCGATAGAGTCTGGGACTGGTGAACGCTTGGTCTGTAAACTAAATAAATCCTTGTATGGTCTAAAACAATCTGGACGCAACTGGAACAAGCTGTTAAATGATCACCTAGTGGTTAATGGTTTTGAACAAAATGCGGCGGACAATTGTGTTTATGTTCGACAGTCTGGGGCTGAAAGGGTCATTTTGATAATTTGGGTAGATGACTTGTTAATTGCAGCCAATAACGAAAGGCTAATCTGTGAAGTAAAAGAAATGTTAGAAAATAAGTTTAAGATGAAAGATCTAGGGGGACTCGGACATTTCTTAGGTATTGACTTCACACAGTGTAAAGGTGAAGTTAGAATGAGTCAGACTAGACATATTGGAAAAGTGCTCCAGAGGTTTGGGATGCTTGAGTGTAAACCAAGACTAACACCTTGTGAGCAAAAGTTTGATTTTGATGATGGAGTTGAAATGGCTGATTCCACAGGCTACAGAGAAATGGTTGGGAGTTTAATTTACATTATGACCTCTACAAGGCCCGACGTAAGCTGGGCGGTCAGTAAATTGTCCCAGCACCTAAAACGGCCAACACAACAGCACTGGGAAATGGCCAAACAGGTATTACGTTACCTCAAAGGCACTATAGACCAGGAACTGTGTTACAGACGAAAAGACCCAGGCCTTAGACTCGAAGGTTATAGCGATGCTGACTGGGCGTCAGACCCTACTGATAGGAAGAGTACTAGTGGTTACTGTTTCAGCCTGACCACAGAAGGTCCAGTAATTTCCTGGAAAAGCAGGAGACAGCCTACTGTAGCTCTGTCGACATGTGAGGCTGAGTACATAGCCCTTGCAGCTACTGTGCAAGAGAGCATGTACCTCATACAACTTCTGGGTGGGATGGACAAGGAAAGACAGCACACTCCAGTAAAGATCTTTGAGGACAACCAGGGTACAATTGCTCTCTCCAAGAACCCAGTGTGTAGACAACGTAGTAAGCATGTGGATGTTCGCTATCATTTTGTACGGTCTGCACACGCTGATGGAAAAATTATAATAGAGTACTGTGCAACGGAGCAAATGGTGGCAGATGTGCTGACCAAACCCTTAACAAAGGTAAAGTTTAACACTTTCAAATATTATTTGTTTGGACAATAATGTAGTATTGTATTTTCTTTGTTTATCTCTGTTTTGTATTCTGTAAAAATGAGCCTGAGTGGGGGTGTTGAGCATGATGTGAAATGCAGCCTCATTTATTATGGTTTATTTATTAGCAGGCAATGTGGGTCCTGTGAGGACCCCTACTGGCGTCAAGTAGCTCTATAAATTGCACCTGTTTTGTTTTAATAAATTGATTGTTTCCTCAACTGGAAAGCTGGCTGCGGTCTCTCTCTGGTCTCTCTCTCTCTATGGTCTCTCACTGGTCTCTCTCTGGTCTCTCTCTTTCTGGTCTCTCTCTCTCTGGTCTCTCTCTCTCTCTGGTCTCTCACTGGTCTCTCTCTGGTCTCTCTCTATGGTCTCTCACTGGTCTCTCTCTCTCTGGTCTCTCACTGGTCTCTCTCTGGTCTCTCTCTCTCTATGGTCTCTCACTGGTCTCTCTCTCTGGTCTCTCTCTCTGGCCTCTCCCTCTGGTCTCTCTCTTTGGTCTCTCACTGGTCTCTCTCTCTCTCTAGCCTCTCTCTCTCTCTCTCTCTCGTCTCTCTCTCTCTCTCAGGTCTCTCTCTCTGGTCTCTGTCTGGTCTCTGTCTGGTCTCTGTCTGGTCTCTCTCTCTCTCTGATCTCTCTCTCTCTCTCAGGTCTCTCTCTCAGGTCTCTCAGGTCTCTCTCGCTGGTCTCTCTCTGGTCTCTCTCTCTGGTCTCTCTCTCTGGTCTCTCTCTCAGGTCTCTCTCAGGTCTCTCTCTCTTTCTGGCCTCTCTCTCGCTCTCTGGTCTCTCTCTCTCTCTCTCTGGTCTCTCTCTCTCTCTCTCTCTGGTCTCTCTCTCAGGTCTCTCTCTCAGGTCTCTCTCTCTGGTCTCTCGCTCTGATCTCTCTGGTCTCTCTCTCTCTCAGGTCTCTCTCTCTGATCTCTCTCTCTGGTCCCTCTCTGGTTTCTCTCTCTGGTCTCTCTCTCTGGTCTCTCTCTGGGTCTCTCTGGGTCTCTCTGGGTCTCTCTCTGGTCTCTCTGGTCTCTCTGGTCTCTCTCTGGTCTCTCTTTCTGGTCTCTCTCTCTCTGGTCTCTCTCTCTGGTCTCTCTCTCTCTCAGGTCTCTCTCTCTGATCTCTCTCTGGTTTCTCTCTCTGGTCTCTCTTTCTGGTCTCTCTCTCTCTGGTCTCTCTCTCTCTGGTCTCTCTCTCTGGTCTCTCTCTGGGTCTCTCTAGGTCTCTCTCTGGTCTCTCTCTCTGGTCTCTCTCTCTGGTCTCTCTCTGGGTCTCTCTGGTCTCTCTCTGGTCTCTCTCTGGTCTCTCTCTCTGGTCTCTCTCATAGTTACCAGAACCAGGTCCAGCTCCTGTTTGGTGGTGGCCTGGTGTTTTTCCAGTCTGGTGCTGAGCTGAGAGCAGATCTGCAAACACCACATTCTCTGTTTTAGATTCAAATAATGTCCACATTTGTACTAACAAAGGTACAGACATAGGCACTGACACAGGTACCGACATAGGTACCGACATAGGCACCGACACAGGTACCGACACAAGCACTGACACAGGTACCGACACAGGTACCGACATAGGCACTGACACAGGTACCGACATAGGCACTGACACAGGTACCGACACAGGTACCGACATAGGCACTGACACAGGTACCGACATAGGCACTGACACAGGTACCGACATAGGCACTGACACAGGTACCGAGATAGGCACTGACACAGGTACCGACATAGGCACCGACATAGGCACTGACATAGGCACTGACACAGAAACTGACACAGGTACCGACATAGGCACGGACACAGGTACCGACATAGGCACTGACACAGGTACCGACATAGGCACTGACAGGTACCGACATAGGCACTAACACAGGTACCGACATAGGTACCGACATAGGCACCGTCACAGGTACCGACATAGGCACCGTCACAGGTACCGACATAGGCACCGACACAGGTAGCGACATAGGCACTGACACAGGTACCGAGATAGGCACTGACACAGGTACCGACACAGGTACCGACATAGGCACTGACACAGGTACCGACATAGGCACTGACACAGGTACCGACATAGGCACCGACATAGGCACTGACACAGGCACTGACACAGAAACTGACACAGGTACCGACATAGGCACGGACACAGGTACCGACATAGGCACTGACACAGGTACTGACATAGGCACTGACAGGTACTGACATAGGCACTGACACAGGTACCGACATAGGCACTGACACAGGTACCGACATAGGCACTGACACAGGTACCGACATAGGCACCGACATAGGCACTGACACAGGCACTGACACAGAAACTGACACAGGTACCGACATAGGCACGGACACAGGTACCGACATAGGCACTGACACAGGTACTGACATAGGCACTGACAGGTACCGACATAGGCACTGACACAGGTACCGACATAGACACTGACACAGGCACTGACACAGAAACTGACACAGGTACCGACATAGGCACGGACACAGGTACCGACATAGGCACTGACACAGGTACTGACATAGGCACTGACAGGTATCGACATAGGCACTGACACAGGTACCGACATAGGCACTGACACAAGCACTGACACAGGTACCGACATAGGCACTGACACAGGTACCGACATAGGCACTGACACAGGTACCGACATAGGCACTGACATAGTTACCGACAAAGGCACTGACACAGGTACTGACATAGGCACTGACACAGGTACCGACATAGGCACTGACACAGGTACCGACATAGGCACTGACACAGGTACTGACATAGGCACTGACACAGGTACCGACATAGACACTGACACAGGTACCGACATAGGCACTGACACAGGTACTGACATAGGCACTGACACAGGTACCAACATAAGCACTGACACAGGTACGAACATAGTTTCTGACACAGGCACTGACACAGGTACTGACATAGGCAGTGACAGAGGCACTGACACAGGTACCGACATAGGCACTGACACAGGGACTGACACAGGTACCGACACAGGCACTGAAACAGGTACCGACATAGGCACTGACACAGGTACCGACACAGGCACTGACACAGGCACTGACACAGGTACCAACATAGGCACTGACACAGGTACTGACATAGGCACTGACACAGGTACTGACACAGGTACTGACATAGGTACTGACACAGGTACTGACACAGGTACCGACATAGGCACTGAAACAGGTACCGACATAGGCACTGACACAGGTACCGACACAGGCACTGACACAGGTACTGACATAGGCAGTGACAGAGGCACTGACACAGGTACTGACATAGGCACTGACACAGGTACCGACACAGGCACTGAAACAGGTACCGACATAGGCACTGACACAGGTACCGACACAGGCACCGACACAGGCACTGACACAGGCACTGACACAGGTACCAACATAGGCACTGACACAGGTACTGACATAGGCACTGACATAGGCACTGACACAGGTACTGACACAGGTACTGACATAGGTACTGACACAGGTACTGACACAGGTACCGACATAGGCACTGAAACAGGTACCGACATAGGCACTGACACAGGTACCGACACAGGCACTGACACAGGTACTGACACAGGTACCAACATAGGCACTGACACAGGTACTGACATAGGTACTGACACAGTAACTCTGAATCATTACCAGAACTAGAGCAGTCAAAGGTACTGCTGTGTTAAAGTGGCACCTGTTTGTACTCTGCGATGATGGCCGTGGTTTTCCGGATCTCGCCCTCGGCCTTTTCCAGCTCACGGCGGAAAACTTCTTTGAGCTGAAAACACAAGAAAAAATCACAAACAGAAAATACAAACAAACACAAAACCGTTGGTCCAAAAGGAGGCTGTAGACCCAGGACTCCTCCTGGTCCCTCCTCTTGTCCTCCTCGGTCTCCACCTGGTCTCTCACCTGTGCGGTCTCCTCCTGGTCCCTCCTCTTGTCCTTCTCGGTCTCCACCTGGTCTCTCACCTGTGCGGTCTCCTCCTGGTCCCTCCTCTTGTCCTCCTCGGTCTCCACCTGATCTCTCACCTGTGCGGTCTCCTCCTGGTCCCTCCTCTTGTCCTCCTCGGTCTCCTTCTGGTCTCTCACCTGTGCGGTCTCCTCCTGGTCCCTCCTCTTGTCCTCCTCGGTCTCCACCTGATCTCTCACCTGTGCGGTCTCCTCCTGGTCCCTCCTCTTGTCCTCCTCGGTCTCCTTCTGGTCTCTCACCTGTGCGGTCTCCTCCTGGTCCCTCCTCTTGTCCTCCTCGGTCTCCACCAGTCTCTGTTTTGTGCTCAGCAGTTCTTTGTTCAGAATATCGGCCTTGTCCTCGGCCTGAAACAAACTCGAGTCAGCATCAAGGAAGTAGAATAGAGTAGAGTAGAGTAGAGTAGAGTAGGGTAGGGTAGGGTAGGGTAGAGTAGGGTAGGGTAGGGTAGGGTAGGGTAGGGTAGGGTAGAGTAGAGTAGAGTAGAGTAAGACAGGGAAGGGTAGGGTAGGTTAGGGTAGAGTAGAGTAGAGTAGAGTAAAATAGGGTAGGGTAGGGTAGGTTAGGGTAGAGTAGAGTAGAGTAGAGTAGAGTAGAGTAAGATAGGGAAGGGTAGGGTAGGTTAGGGTAGGGTAGAGTAGAGTAGAGTAGAGTAAGATAGGGAAGGGTAGGGTAGGTTAGGGTAGAGTAGAGTAGAGTAGAGTAGAGTAGAGTAGAGTAAGATAGGGTAGTGTAGGGTAGGTTAGGGTAGGGTAGAGTAGAGTAGAGTAGAGTAGAGTAGAGTAAGATAGGGTAGTGTAGGGTAGGTTAGGGTAGGGTAGAGTAGAGTAGAGTAGAGTAAGGTAGGGTAGGGTAGGGTAGGTTAGGGTAGGGTAGAGTAGAGTAGAGTAGAGTAGAGTAAGATAGTGTAGGGTAGGGTAGGATAAAGTAGAGTAGAGTAAGATAGGGTAGGGTAGGGTAGAGTAGAGTAGGGTAGGGTAGGGTAGAGTAGAGTAGAGTAGGGTAGGGTAGAGTAGAGTAGAGTAGAGTAGGGTAAGATAGGGTAGGGTAGGGTAGAGTAGAGTAGGGTAGGGTAGGGTAGAGTAGAGTAGGGTAAGGTAGGGTAGAGTAGGGTAGGGTAGGGTAGGGTAGGGTAGAGTAGGGTAGGGAAGGGTAGAGTAGAGTTGCTGGTTCCCACCTGGTCCAGGTCGCTGCGCAGAGCGATCTTACTGGTCACCAGTTCATGAGCGAGGTCATCGTTCTCCTGCTCCAGCCTCATACTGGCCTCCTGCAGACGCCTGTTCTCCTTCTGCAACACACACTACATCACAGCACCACACACACTACACACACTACAGCACCACAGCTCCCCTTACAGGCATACAGGCTCTGATCTCTCTCTGGTCTCTCTCTGGTCTCTCTCTGGTCTCTCTCTCTGGTCTCTCTCTGGTCTCTCTCTCTGGTCTCTCTCTCTGGTCTCTCTCTCTGGTCTCTCTCTGGTCTCTCTCTCTGGTCTCTCTCTCTGGTCTCTCTCTCTGGTCTCTCTCTCTGGTCTCTCTCTCTGGTCTCTCTCTGGTCGCTCTCTGGTCTCTCTCTCTGGTCTCTCTCTCTCTCTCTGGTCTCTCTCTCTGGTCTCTCTCTGGTCGCTCTCTGGTCTCTCTCTCTGGTCTCTCTCTGGTCTCTCTCTCTGGTCTCTCTCTGGTCTCTCTCTCTGGTCTCTCCTCTGGTCTCTCTCTGGTCTCTCTCTGGTCTCTCTCTGGTCTCTCTCTCTGGTCTCTCTCTCTGGTCTCTCTCTCTGGTCTCTCTCTCTGGTCTCTCTCTCTGGTCTCTCTCTGGTCTCTCTCTGGTCTCTCTCTGGTCTCTCTCTGGTCTCTCTCTCTGGTCTCTCTCTCTGGTCTCTCTGGTCTCTCTATGGTCTCTCTCTCTGGTCTCTCTCTCTGGTCTCTCTCTCTGGTCTCTCTCTCTGGTCTCTCTCTCTGGTCTCTCTCTCTGGTCTCTCTCTGGTCTCTCTCTGGTCGATCTCTCTGGTCTCTCTCTGGTCTCTCTCTGGTCTCTCTCTGGTCTCTCTCTCTGGTCTCTCTCTGGTCTCGGTCTCTCTCTGGTCTCTCTCTGGTCTCGGTCTCTCTGGTCTCTCTCTCTGGTCTCTCTGGTCTCTCTGGTCTCTCTATGGTCTCTCTCTCTGGTCTCTCTCTCTGGTCTCTCTCTCTGGTCTCTCTCTCTGGTCTCTCTCTCTGGTCTCTCTCTGGTCTCTCTCTGGTCGATCTCTCTGGTCTCTCTCTGGTCTCTCTCTGGTCTCTCTCTGGTCTCTCTCTCTGGTCTCTCTCTGGTCTCGGTCTCTCTCTGGTCTCTCTCTGGTCTCTCTCTCTGGTCTCTCTCTGGTCTCTCTCTGGTCTCTCTCTGGTCTCTCTCTGGTCTCTCTCTGGTCTCTCTCTGGTCTCTCTCTGGTCTCTCTCTGGTCTCTCTCTGGTCTCTCTGACTGTCCTACTTCCAAAGTCAATATAAATAGCTCCAGATGAAAAAGACCGAAATAACTGGAGCCTGAAATAAACTTCTGAAGGTTTTGTTCTGAAATTGTTTAAAAATCAAGACGTACAGATCTGTGGGCAGAGCCAGGGGTACTCTACTCTATCTGGTCTCTCTGGTCTCCTTCTGGTTGGTCTCTCTCTGGTCTCTCTCTCTGGTCTCTCTCTGGTCTCTCTCTCTGGTCTCTCTCTCTGGTCTCTCTCTCTGGTCTCTCTCTCTGGTCTCTCTCTCTGGTCTCTCTCTGGTCTCTCTCTGGTCTCTCTCTGGTCTCTCTCTGGTCTCTCTCTCTGGTCTCTCTGGTCTCTCTATGGTCTCTCTCTCTGGTCTCTCTCTGGTCGATCTCTCTGGTCTCTCTCTGGTCTCTCTCTCTGGTCTCTCTCTCTGGTCTCTCTCTCTGGTCTCTCTCTGGTGTCTCTCTGGTCTCTCTCTGGTCTCTCTCTGGTCCCTCTCTGGTCCCTCTCTGGTCCCTCTCTGGTCCCTCTCTGGTCTCTCTCTGGTCCCTCTCTGGTCCCTCTCTGGTCCCTCTCTGGTCCCTCTCTGGTCCCTCTCTGGTCCCTCTCTGGTCCCTCTCAGGTCTCTCTCTGGTCCCTCTCTGGTCCCTCTCTGGTCCCTCTCTGGTCTCTCTCTGGTCCCTCTCTGGTCCCTCTCTGGTCTCTCTCTGGTCTCTCTCTGGTCTCTCTCTGGTCCCTCTCTGGTCCCTCTCTGGTCCCTCTCTGGTCCCTCTCTGGTCCCTCTCTGGTCCCTCTCTGGTCCCTCTCAGGTCTCTCTCTGGTCTCTCTCTGGTCCCTCTCTGGTCTCTCTCTCTGGTCTCTCTCTGGTCTCTCTCTGGTCTCTCTCTGGTCTCTCTCTGGTCCCTCTCTGGTCTCTCTCTCTGGTTAGTATTTTGTGAAATACTAACATTAAATTCTAGACGTAGGAACAGGAAGTTAAGTCATAAACTTAACATAAAAAAATGTTGAGTCAAAACTGAGCGTGTCTGAAGCCGCACTTACTGCAGCGGCCACCAGAGGGAGCCACACACTGATGTCTGGCTGAACATTTACCACATGGTTCAAAACAAGGACAGTATCTTTATTTGTATAAGTATAAAATAACTGTGACATGAAAAACAAAAGAGGGAAACGAGACTCTCCCTCTGGTGTCTCACTGGTGTCTTTCTGGTCTCTCTCTTTGGTGTCCCTCTCTCTGTGTATCTGTTTGTGTGTCTCTCTCTGTGTGTGTTTGTCTCTCTCCTTGTGTGTGTGTGTCTGTGCCCTGTGGCTCAGAGAATAGACTTTAAAACAGCTCTGCTTGTTACAAGTCTCTCCATGGCCTCGCACCAAAATATATTAGTGACATGTTAGTCCCATATGAACCAGCCCGGACTCTGAGGAGCACAGGGACTGGACTCCTGCTGGGACTCTGAGGAGCACAGGGACTGGACTCCTGTTGGTCCCAGAGTCAGAACTAAACATGGGGAGGCTGCTTTTCAGATTCATGCTGCTAAAATCTGGAACAGTCTTCCTGAAGATGTGAGACAGGCCTCCTCTCTGACAATGTTTAAAACCAGGTTAAAGACAGTTCTGTTTAGCTGTGCTACAACTGAGGGATTTTACATTTTTATCTTTCTTTTTAATGTTCTGTGATTATTTATGATTTTAATGCTTTCTTGTTTTGTTCAGCACTTTGAATTGCCTTGTGTATGAATTGTGCTATATAAATAAACTTGCCTTGCCTTGCCTGTGTGTGTCCTCAGCTGGTCTCGTACCTGGTATCGGTGGATGGGGTCCTCGTCCTGCAGCTGGTTCTCTCTCACACTCTGGTATTCTTTCTCAAACTTCTTCAGTTTCTTGGTGGGAACCTGCAGAAAACACATAACACACAGTTTGTGGTGAGAGTGTGTGAGAAACCCCCCTTATATGGTCAGTCCTTTTATCCTTAGGAACCAGAGCCTGGGTCCTCAGGTCTGGGTCTGAGCCTGGATCCTCGGGTATGAGCCTGGATCCTCAGGTCTGAGCCTGGATCCTCGGGTCTGAGCCTGGATCCTCGGGTATGAGCCTGGATCCTCAGGTCTGAGCCTGGATCCTCGGGTCTGAGCCTGGATCCTCGGGTCTGAGCCTGGATCCTCGGGTATGAGTCTGGATCCTCGGGTATGAGTCTGGATCCTCGGGTCTGAGCCTGGATCCTCGGGTCTGAGCCTGGATCCTCGGGTCTGAGCCTGGATCCTCGGGTATGAGTCTGGATCCTCGGGTCTGAGCCTGGATCCTCGGGTCTGAGCCTGGATCCTCGGGTCTGAGCCTGGATCCTCGGGTATGAGCCTGGATCCTCGGGTCTGAGCCTGGATCCTCGGGTATGAGCCTGGATCCTCGGGTCTGAGCCTGGATCCTCGGGTCTGAGCCTGGATCCTCGGGTCTGAGCCTGGATCCTCGGGTATGAGCCTGGATCCTCGGGTCTGAGCCTGGATCCTCGGGTATGAGCCTGGATCCTCGGGTCTGAGCCTGGATCCTCGGGCATGAGCCTGGATCCTCGGGTCTGAGCCTGGATCCTCGGGTCTGAGCCTGGATCCTCGGGTCTGAGCCTGGATCCTCGGGTATGAGTCTGGATCCTGAACACAGGTTTCGGTGCTGAGACCAAGGCCTCGTGGTTTGCAGCCGTGAAGATGTTGTGTCTGAGTGAAACCCTCTCCGCCGTTCTAACTAATGGGCCAAAAAATGTGCTCTACTGGAGCTATCCAAAATGGCAGCGAGTGGTCCCGCCCACAAGAAAATTGTGAAAAAACACATCTGTCCATGCGTCAGCGCAGCTCCATTCATTTGAACGAGTGACTTCTAAAGTCCACAGCGACTAAACTAGACTGGTCCAGAACACTCAGCATTGACACACATGTGGAACGGAGCTTTGGGCCAAGAGACAACTTTGGGTCCATCCTGTAAAGACGTTTTCCAGAGGTAAGAAGATGCTATATGTTAGCATTGGCTAATTCTTATTCCGGGTCCACCCCTACAGGCCCGGGGTGGTATTGCAGCGTGTCAGCGCACGTCATTTTGGCCACTTTTGAGCCGGGACCCGCCCCCAGTGGCCTTCACTTTTAAAGAACTGGAAACATCAGTGCAAAGGCTAATGCTAACGGCTACATGTAAACACTGTGTTGCTATGGTAACAAGCACTCGCTCTCCTCGAGAGGAAAACCAAACTGGAAGAGTCTTTAACGTTCAAGTGACAGAAAATGGCTCCATTCTGGGAGTTCATTATAATAACAATAATACATCAGTTTTATACAAGCTTTTCAGGACACTCAGAGACGCTTCACATCAGTATTCATTATCTCCAAACACAGGTGATAAACTACTACTGTAGCCACAGCTGCCCTGGGGCACACTGACAGAAGCCCCTCCCACCACCACCAACCATTCACACACACAGCAGACTCATTCTAATGTGGGGGAAGTGTCTTGCCTAAGGACACAACCACAGTTTGGCACTTATATGGTCAGTCCTTTTATGGTCAGTCCTTTTATGGTCAGTCCTTATATGGTCATATGTGGATTCACAAAGACACATCACAGATAAACACAGATTTAAACCCAAAATGATGTCACATGTTTCTGAGGAGTTCACTTTTACATGAAGTCAAAAGGATCCAGAGAGAGGAGCCAAACTTCACCACGAGCACTTCCCTATCAGGCTTCATGGAGTTAGCGAGTTAGCATTGAGTTAGCGAGTTAGCATTGAGTTAGCATTGTCCATCTGTGTACAGTCTGTGGTCTGGAACTTCAAACATGAAGCAGGTGAACTATATACAACAAAAACCATTACAGCTGCTGGTACCACAGCTGCTGGTACCACAGCTGCTGGTACCACAGCTGCTGGTTGTCGGACCCCAGCATCTGGGAGGACTATGAAGACTTAAAATTGGCTGAAGGAGGTCGTTAGTGAAGAAGTGGGTCAGGAAATTAAAAACATGAGACCGATCCAGACAAAGACCACGATTCAGAGAGAGACCAGAGAGAGACCATAGAGAGACCAGAGAGAGAGAGACCAGAGAGAGACCAGAGAGAGACCAGAGAGAGACCAGAGAGAGAGACCAGAGAGAGAGAGACCAGAGAGAGAGAGACCAGAGAGAGAGACCAGAGAGAGAGAGACCAGAGAGAGAGAGACCAGAGAGAGACCAGAGAGAGACCAGAGAGAGACCAGAGAGAGACCACAACATTTCAAAAGACTTTCCGTTGCTACAAACACGTACTATCTGCTCTTTAAGTAGAAGGCAGTGGCGGCGGGACCTACCGCTGGCCTGAGGGCTCGCAGCGGTCTGGAACTGGCCACGATCCGGGTCAGAGCGTCCTCCTCAGACGGACGTCCCACTACATGAGCATCGTACGCCACCGCAATGGACACTTCCTGCATCATCCTCTCCGCCTCCTCACCCAGGACTACTGCTACTGCTACTACTACTACTACTACTGCTACTGCTGCTGCTGCTACTGCTACTGCTGCTGCTGCTGCTGCTGCTACTACTACTGCTACTACTGCTACTACTACTGCTACTACTGCTACTGCTGCTACTGCTGCTACTGCTGCTGCTGCTGCTGCTGCTGCTGCTGCTGCTGCTGCTACTGCTACTACTGCTACTGCTGCTACTGCTGCTACTGCTGCTGCTGCTGCTGCTGCTGCTGCTGCTGCTGCTGCTGCTACTACTGCTGCTGCTACTGCTGCTACTACTGCTACTACTGCTACTGCTGCTACTGCTGCTACTGCTGCTGCTGCTGCTGCTGCTGCTGCTGCTGCTGCTGCTGATGGCAGGTTAGGACTGGAGACTGAAGAGGAGGTGCAGAGGGAGAAAAGAGCCCTTGATATAAGCCCCGCCCTCCTCTACAGAGCTCCAAATACTCCTGAAAGCAGAGGGAGAGACAGGGGGGAGGGAGAGGGAGAAGCAGGTGGGAGGGAGAGGGAGAGAGGGAGGGAGAGAGAGAGAGGGAGAGAGAGAGAGAGAGGGAGAGGCAGAGGGGAGGGAGAGAGAGAGAGGGAGAGAGAGAGAGAGAGGGAGAGGCAGAGGGGAGGGAGAGGGAGAAGCAGTGGGAGGGAGAGAGAGAGAGGGAGAGAGGAGAGAGAGAGAGAGAGAGAGAGAGAGGGAGAGGCAGAGGGGAAGGAGAGAGAGAGGGAGAGGCAGAGAGGGACAAGGCACCTGTGTGTCTGAGGGGATGATAAAGCAGTTTCTGCGTTGAGGAGAATGAACTGAAATACTATTCTTTCCCTCTGGAGTACGAGGCCGAAGGGGTCAGGTAAAGACTGTAGACTCAGACTCAGCCTGGTCTCGGTCTCAGCCTGGTCTTGGTCTCAGCCTGGTCGCAGTCTGGTCTCAGTCTCGGCCTGGTCTCAGTCTCGGCCCGCTCTCAGTCTCGGCCCGCTCTCAGTCTCAGCCCGGTCTCAGTCTGGTCTCAGTCTCGGCCTGGTCTCAGTCTCGGCCCGCTCTCAGTCTCAGCCCGCTCTCAGTCTCAGCCCGCTCTCAGTCTCGGCCCGCTCTCAGTCTCAGCCCGGTCTCAGTCTGGTCTCAGTCTCGGCCTGGTCTCAGTCTCGGCCCGCTCTCAGTCTCAGCCCGCTCTCAGTCTCAGCCTGGTCTCAGTCTCAGCCCGCTCTCAGTCTCAGCCTGCTCTCAGTCTCAGCCCGCTCTCAGTCTCAGCCTGGTCTCAGTCTCAGCCTGGTCTCAGTCTCAGCCTGGTCTCAGTCTCAGCCTGGTCTCAGTCTCAGCGCTGCTATCTTCTGTCACTTCCTGTTTGAGGTTTGAGGCTTGTGTCAGAGGAAACCGTTATGAAGGAGGAGGCAGTGTTTTCACAAACATCACAGCTGCTGCTCTGGTCTCACTCTGGTCTCTCTCTCTCTCTGGTCTCTCTCTCTGGTCTCTCTCTCTGGTCTCTCTCTGGTCTCTCTCTGGTCTCTCTCTCTGGTCTCTCTCTGGTCTCTCTCTCTGGTCTCTCTCTCTCTCTGGTCTCTCACTGGTCTCTCACTGGTCTCTCACTGGTCTCTCTCTGGTCTCTCTCTGGTCTCTCTCTGTGGTCTCTCACTGGTCTCTCTCTGGTCTCTCTCTGTGGTCTCACTCTGGTCTCTCTCTCTGGTCTCTCACTGGTCTCTCGCTGGTCTCTCTCTGGTCTCTCTCTGTGGTCTCTCGCTGGTCTCTCTCTGGTCTCTCTCTGTGGTCTCACTCTGGTCTCTCTCTCTGGTCTCTCTCACTGGTCTCTCACTGGTCTCTCACTGGTCTCACTCTGGTCTCTCTCTGGTCTCTCTCAAATATTGCATTAATTAAAAGTACTGAGATGAATCTTGAACTGAAGTTAAACAAATACATGAAAGAAAAGACCAGGAGACAGTGTCACCTGGTTAAAAACTGACAACAGCAGGGACCAGGTGCAATAACACTTCCCACATGACAACAGCCCCGTCACCGTGACAACAGGCCCCTCCCACTGCTCCCACACAACTTTGAGTTACACCATAATAATTAGGCCTAAAGGACACAACATTCTCTCTGGTCTCTATCTAGTCTCACTCTGGTCTCACTCTGGTCTCACTCTGGTCTCACTCTGGTCTCACTCTGGTCTCACTCTGGTCTCTCTCTGGTCTCTCTCTGGTCTCTCTCTGGTCTTTCTCTGGTCTCTCCCTGGTCTCACTCTGGTCTCACTCTGGTCTCACTCTGGTCTCACTCTGGTCTCACTCTGGTCTCTCTCTGGTCTCTCTCTGGTCTCTCTCTGGTCTCTCTCTGGTCTCTCTCTGGTCTCTCTCTGGTCTCTCTCTGGTCTCTCTCTGGTCTCACTCTGGTCTCACTCTGGTCTCACTCTGGTCTCACTCTGGTCTCACTCTGGTCTCACTCTGGTCTCTCTCTGGTCTCTCTTTGGTCTCACTCTGGTCTCACTCTGGTCTCTATCTAGTCTCACTCTGGTCTCACTCTGGTCTCACTCTGGTCTCACTCTGGTCTCACTCTGGTCTCACTCTGGTCTCACTCTGGTCTCACTCTGGTCTCACTCTGGTCTCACTCTGGTCTCTATCTAGTCTCTCTCTGGTCTCACTCTGGTCTCACTCTGGTCTCACTCTGGTCTCACTCTGGTCTCTCTTTGGTCTCGCTCTGGTCTCTTGCTGGTCTCTCTCTGGTCTCAGAGTGAGGTGTTTGAGAACCATGGGATAAACTCATTCTTCTGATAATCCCAAACAGAACCTGCGAGTTCAGAATGAGCAGAATTCTTTAGAGGTTTAAGCGTCTTAGAGTTCATCGGATTTAAATATGGAAGAATGTAAAGGACGGACCAGAGAGAGACCAGAGAGAGACCAGAGAGAGAGACCAGAGAGAGAGACCAGAGAGAGACCAGAGAGAGAGACCAGAGAGAGACCAGAGAGAGACCAGAGAGAGAGACCAGAGAGAGACCAGAGAGAGACCAGAGAGAGACCAGAGAGAGAGACCAGAGAGAGACCAGAGAGAGAGACCAGAGAGAGAGACCAGAGAGAGACCAGAGAGAGAGACCAGAGAGAGACCAGAGAGAGAGACCAGAGAGAGAGACCAGAGAGAGACCAGAGAGAGAGACCAGAGAGAGACCAGAGAGAGAGACCAGAGAGACCAGAGAGAGAGACCAGAGAGACACCAGAGAGAGACCAGAGAGAGAGACCAGAGAGAGAGACCAGAGAGAGACCAGAGAGAGACCAGAGAGAGACAAGAGAGAGAGACCAGAGAGACACCAGAGAGAGAGACCAGAGAGAGAGAGAGACCAGAGAGAGAGACCAGAGAGAGAGACCAGAGCGAGACCACAGAGAGAGAGACCAGGTTCCATCCAGGCCGAGCTGGTACCAAAGTGTTCTAACAGTGATTGGTTGGAGCAGAGTAATTATGAATGAGTTTGAAATCTACAACAGGAAACTGTCTCCATAGCAACGGCAGAAGAGGAATACTGTGTATCAGCTCCATCTTTGTCTAACAACTTCCTCCACACACACACACACACACACACACACACACACACACACACACACACACACACACACACACACACACACACACACACACACGTTTTTGTTACCTGGTGGGTCCCTTTGACAGGGCCGTTCAGAATGGGACCCATAGACATAATCATTTTTTACCAAGACTTTAAGTAATACAAAACAGTCAATAGAAACCAAACAACTATTTTAAAGGAATTTTATTTTAGATTTTGTTTTCGAATTGCAGTGATTCTATTTTTGACATAGAATTTAATGCCACTCCATGTCCGATGTCTAAGGTCATCTGGTGAGGCATTAATGCAGGCCAGGCCAGGCCAGGCAGTGAGACTTCCCAGGGACCTTTCCAGTCTGTATGAAAGGTGTCATGGTCTTCTCCACAGCCTTCACCTCAGATGCAGACCATGGCTTTCTTACACGTTCTAGGGAGAGAAATAAAAATATATTAGCAATATACACTCCCAGGGTTAGGACCAAGCAGCCTGGCTGTAATCCCCCACCTGGTACACTTACCAGAAGGGGCACTGCCACTACCATGGGGTGCATCTGGATGAATGGTTGAAGGTTCTCCGCTTGAAGTTTCTTTTAGCCCGTCCGTTTGTGAGAGGATCTCTACTGCTCTCCCTGTCGCACAGAAAATAAAAATACAAGTGGCCTTTAGGGGAAAAAAATCATACATATTTTAATAATATCAAGAATTACCTTCAGGCTCAATTTGTATCTGGTCGAGGCTCTTTCCTTCGAATTCCGTCACTCTTCCCTGCTCCATGGCCATCAACACTTTGCTGATTTTGGCCAGCTCCAGTGTCCCCTCTGGTAGTCTGTAATATTGCCTGTGGATGCGAATGTCATGGCCGAGGAAGTTGGCAAGTATGTCCATCTCATTCTCTTTCATATTGAGAACTGTAGACATAGTAGCTATGTGCTTTCTAAGTTTGGTTGAGGATAGCATCTCTGGATGCACCGCACCACATTCTTTGGCTACCTGGCGTAGGGAGTCTGATCCCCTGATGTGGGTGTCTGCGCCCGGGCGGGAAAAGAAGTATGGGTTATGGTCAGAGATGGAACAGGCCCTTCTGTTCTCCACCAGCACCTCCATCGAAGCAATCATTTCAGGAGTCAAAAGAACCGGCACTTTCCAACTTCTTTTCCCTTTAATTTCAATGCGTTGAAAATGCTGACACAGCTTTTTCTCAAGTTGGGACAGTCCCAGAGCAATGTCAGAATGGATCCCAGTCTTACTTCTTAAGGTAAAGGCTGTCAGTGGCATCTTTGAAACCTCACCTTCCCTTCTTCGATTGAAAATGATGACCTCACAAAGAGTCAAAACTGCCAGTTTAGACCAATGCTTAGACGTTGGCTCACTTATTAGGGTTTGCACATATTCAGGTCGACATACCTCAATATGTGCATGCATGGCTCTAACGTCCTCAGTCAGAGGGAGCAGGTCCGGAGTGTTCCACTTGGCTTGCCGGAGGGTCTGTAGGGCAGCAGAAGAAACACAGACGTCCCACCTCTTCTCAAAAAGCAGCCGGCTTCGTTGGAGGTTTTTAATAAATAGTTCATCAACACAATGCTCCATTTTTGAGTCACATTCAAGAATATCTGCTAGCTTTCTGAGGCTATGGCCGAGTTTGAGGGCCAAGGATGGAGTCTTGTATTGATTTGTTTCCTCATCATATCCAGCCACAGACCTGACTGCATCAATCACATGGTTAAAGTTGGAAGGAATAAAGAAATCCTTAATTGTTTTCAGTTTCCCTGCGGTTTTTGCTTCGTTAATTAACCTACCGACTTCTCTCATTTTCTGCCTAATGTAATCATGCTTAGTCTTATCATGCCCGTGTTTTAAGTACAGGTGCTCTCCGAGTCTCAGAATCCCCTTTTCTGCTTTGACAACACCCGTGACCTCATCCTGATGCATTGCCGAAATTAAAGACCACAGCTTTTTGCTGATGCCCTCCGGTACAGGCTGGGCTAGGGAGCAGAGGGACTGGACCCTACTTCTACCTGGTTTAGCCTGGGCATCTTTCTGTGAAAGCCGGCACCTGGCCACATGCCTCCACAGCCACTTTCGCTTAAGCAATGCCCCACAGTCTATACAGTGCAAAAACTCACTGGATTTAACTGGGGAATTTGGCTGTTTAGCTGGGACTAAAGTTCCAATGCCGGCCTTTAAAACCTCAAAATTGTGCTCACGGTTTCCACTATTCCTGATCAAATCAAACTGAAGTTTACGTGCTTTAGATTTCACAGGTAGAGCCAATGCTCTGGCTACGTCACTTTCATTTCCATGTTTTCTAGTCAAATGACGGGACATTTTGTGGCAGGACATTGAACAGTAGAGGCAGAAGTGTCTCTTGCTGTAAACTCGCCCCCCATTTTTCTTCTTTTGCAGCTGCATGATAACAATCTTATTTGCCTTTGGTTCGTCACTTTCCGAGTCTTGAAGAAAAGTGTTTTTGATTTTTCTTTTTCCATACTTTTTTACAGGTTTCTTCTTGACAGTTAAATCGTCAGAATCTGAGTCGACTTCATCAATTAGGGACTCTTGACTAAGCTGCACAAACAACAAATAATTTGTAATCATTCTATATAACAATTTGAAGTCATGACTTGTAGTCAGCACTTACCAGTGGTTTGTAAGCGTGCGCTTCAGTGTGCTGCTCTGTGATTGGCTGCAGCCTAATGAACCACACACTTGCACCTTTTTCTAGCCTGACACCTGATTTCCTCTGTTGTGCTGCTCCATGATTGGCTCCAGCCTGCTGGACTGAAATTGCCCCAGTGTGCCCCTCCTTGATATCCCGCAACCCACCACCAGGGTTCCGACACATAACACACTTTTTTCAGGAAAGTAAACCTCCAGGGGTCCTTTCCATATTTTTACAGAGACTGCATAAGGACCGTTAGAAAAGCATTACCCATTGATTATTAAGCTTGGACCAGTGGGGTCCGGTGTTCGGGCCCCACCACGTAAAACCAGTCCCCATGACGTGAGTGGAATCTCAGGTTATGGAACCCACCAGGAGTTGAAAACAAGTGCACACACACACACACACACACACACACACACATTCCTGCGCTGCGGTGTGAGGTCAGTGTGACACAGATAAGATGAGAATTCAAATCCTACTCAGGGTTTTTTATGTGAAAAATGTGTTTTTAGACGATGACGTCACCGTCTCATCAAAACAGACCTGGAGTTGTGTTTTGTTCCATCCAGGCCCGAGGATCTCTCAGAGCCTGCAGGTCTCAACGCTCTGCCTCATTGTACAGACTCAAAACTATTCAGGCATTTACAATAATAATAATAATGCATAGAGCTCTCTTCACATAATTATTCTTTCTCCGATCACAGTGGTGAAAAACTACTGTAGCCACAGCTGCCCTGGGGCAGACTGACAGAAGCGAGGCCCCACACATACACAGCAGACTCATTCTGATGTGGGGGAAGTGTCTTGCCTAAGGACACAATGGCAGATTACAGCCGCCCCACTGTAAACTCCTCAGTAACATGTGACATCACCATTTTGGGTTTAAATCTGTGTTTATCTGTGATGTGTCTTTGTGAATCAAGATATGACCATATAAGGACTGACCAATCAGAGCCCTTCTTTCAGGAGGATTTCCAGTACCTTGGTGTTGTGGCGCCCCGTGAGGCCGTACCTTGGTGTTACGGCGCCCCGTGTGGCCGTACCTTGGTGTTATAGCGCCCCGTGTGGCCGTACCTTGATGTTGCAGGCCTGCTCCATCAGCCTCCGGGCGTTCTCAGCTGCTCTGTATCTCTTCGGGAGCTGGACCCTGAAGAACTTGAGCGCTCCTTCAAAGTCGGCCTGAAGCAGGTCTTCTTTGGACGTCTGTGAGGAACAGGAACCACATGTGACTGTTACAGACGCATGTGTCTGTAACAGTGTCTGTTTTTTCTGTAACAGACACATGTATGTGTCTGTAACAGTCACATGTGACTGTTACAGACGCATGTGTCTGTAACAGTGTCTGTTTTTTCTGTAACAGACACATGTATGTGTCTGTAACAGTCACATGTGACTGTAACAGTCACATGTGACTGTAACAGTGTCTGTTTTTTCTGTAACAGACACATGTATGTGTCTGTAACAGACACATACATGTGTCTGTAACAGACACATACATGTGTCTGTTACAGTCACATGTGTCTGTAACAGTCACATGTGACTGTTACAGACACATGTGTCTGTAACAGTCACATGTGTCTGTAACAGTCACATGCGTCTGTAACAGTCACATGTGTCTGTTACAGACACATGTGACTGTTACAGACACATGTGACTGTTACAGTCACATGTGACTGTTACAGTCACATGTATGTGTCTGTTACAGACGCATGTGACTGTTACAGACACATGTGACTGTTACAGACACATGTGTCTGTAACAGTCACATGTGACTGTTACAGACACATGTGACTGTAACAGACACATGTATGTGTCTGTTACAGACACATGTATGTGTCTGTTACAGACACATACATGTGTCTGTAACAGTCACATGTGTCTGTAACAGTCACATGTGACTGTTAGAGACACATGTGACTGTTACAGACACATGTGACTGTTACAGACACATGTGACTGTTACAGACACATGTGACTGTAACAGACACATGTATGTGTCTGTTACAGACACATGTATGTGTCTGTTACAGACACATACATGTGTCTGTAACAGTCACATGTGTCTCTAACAGTCACATGTGACTGTTAGAGACACATGTGACTGTTACAGACACATGTGACTGTTACAGACACATGTGACTGTTACAGACACATGTGACTGTTACAGACACATGTATGTGTCTGTAACAGACACATACATGTGTCTGTTACAAAAAAAACAGACACTGTTACAGACACATGTATGTGACTGTTACAGACACATGTATGTGACTGTTACAGACACATACATGTGTCTGTTACAGAAAAAACAGACACTGTTACAGACACATGTATGTGACTGTTACAGACACATACATGTGTCTGTTACAGAATAAACAGACACTGTTACAGACACATGTATGTGACTGGAAAAAGGTTAAACCATTGTTGTGTCCATAGACAAGACACCTGCCTATGGCCCTTAGGAAGAGTCTGGTGTGTGTGTGTCTGTGTGTGTGTGTGTGCGTGTGTGTCTGTGTGTGTGTGTGTGTGTGTGTGTGTGTGTGTGTGTGTGTGTGTGTGTGTGTGTGTGTGTGTGTGTGTGTGTGTGTGTGTGTGTGTGTGTGTGTGTGTGTGTGTGTGGTTTTAAAATAAACATGTTACAATAATTTTGTGACTGTAACATTATTAAAACTAAAATCACACTTGTTTATAAATCCACAGTAGATTCTCAGTGTTCCAGACGGAGGGGAAGAGAGCCACCTGGTGGTAGAGCCATGCAACTGCATAACACTCAACCACACTTTTTAGTTAGAGCCACATGAGTTCACCACTAAACTAGTCCTGATTTAGACCTGGTTTAGACCTGGTTTAGTCCTGGTTTTGTCCTGGTTTTGTCCTGGTTTTGTCCTGGTTTAGTCCTGGTTTAGTCCTGGTTTAGTCCTGGTTTAGTCCTGGTTTAGACCTGGTTTAGTCCTGGTTTAGACCTGGTTTAGTCCTGGTTTAGTCCTGGTTTAGACCTGGTTTAGTCCTGGTTTAGACCTGGTTTAGACCTGGTTTAGACCTATTTCCTGTGTTGAATTGTTTGATTCTCTGATCTGCGTTGGCGAATCGACAGCTCCTGTTGTGATTTAGAACTATTCTTAAATACATGTAATTGGATATAATGCTCTGCTCGGGCACTGCCACAGACCCACGCCTCACCGCTAACAGTTTGGGCACGAAGAGCCGGTGTCCCATCCCCAAGAGGCCCATGGCGCGGCAGAACGAGTCCTCCGAGCCCTGGCTGCCCTGGGGCGACTCCTCTGGCTCGCGCCTGGAGGAGGGCAGGGCCCGCAGGAGGGGAGGGGAGGGCGGGGGAGACATGGCGGACAGGAGAGGCTGAGGGGGAGGAGGCGGCCTGTCATCGGGGCCCATGGCGGGGGCGGGATCAGCCAGCGTGGTCAAGAACCTGGATCGTTGGTGGTTCTAAAAGGTCTTCATCTGGTCCTAGGTTCAGTCACAGCAGATTCTAGTCCAGAGGGATTCAGGTCCAGCCCAACGACACTGAACCTTTTCCAGATCAGTCAAGGATTCACTTTGTTTCTAAAAAATGTAGTGGAAAAACGCTCCAACGCCCGGAGTTCACAACGTCAACAAGTCTCATCCAGCCTTAGTCCCAAAACCTGGTTCTTAGAGTCCAGAGAAATACAGAGTAAAGCACAACAGATGATCCGCTCTGGTCTCCGTCAGCTCGGCCAACTTTTGTTCTGGAATTCTTTGGGGAAATACCAAGAATGGAAGGTGACTCCAACGTTTCTACGACATCTTCGTCTTCCACCAGTTTGATCCAAAGGTCTCCCAGAAGCTTAAAAGCAGCACACACTGAAAGAGCATGAAGCAGACTCGTTCTTGAACTGCAGGCCACAGGATCGGATGACCCTGGACCTGGACCTTGGACCTGGACCCTGGACCTGGACCTGGACCTTGGACCTGGACCTTGGACCTGGACCTTGGACCTGGACCTTGGACCTGGACCTTGGACTTGGACCTTGGACCTGGACCTTGGACCTGGACCTGGACCTTGGACCTGGACCCTGGACCTGGACCCTGGACCTGGACCTTGGACCTGGACCTTGGACCTGGACCTGGACCTTGGACCTGGACCTTGGACTTGGACCTTGGACCTGGACCTTGGACTTGGACCTTGGACCTTGGACCTGGACCTTGGACCTGGACCTTGGACCTGGACCTTGGACCTGGACCTTGGACCTGGACCTTGGACTTGGACCTTGGACCTGGACCTTGGACCTGGACCCTGGACCTGGACCTTGGACCTGGACCTTGGACCTGGACCTTGGACCTGGACCTTGGACCTGGACCTTGGACCTTGGTTGGACCTGGACCTTGGACCTGGACCTTGGACCTGGACCTTGGACCTGGACCTTGGACCTTGGACCTGGACCTTGGACCTGGACCTTGGACCTGGACCTTGGACCTTGGTTGGACCTGGACCTTGGACCTGGACCTTGGACCTGGGCCTTGGACCTGGACCTTGGACCTGGGCCTTGGACCTGGACCTTGGACCTGGACCTTGGACCTTGGACCTGGACCTTGGACCTGGACCTTGGACCTGGACCTTGGACCTTGGACCTGGACCTTGGACCTGGGCCTTGGACCTGGACCTTGGACCTGGACCTTGGACCTTGGTTGGACCTGGACCTTGGACCTGGACCTTGGACCTGGACCTTGGACTTGGACCTTGGACCTGGGCCTTGGACCTGGACCTTGGACTTGGACCTTGGACCTGGGCCTTGGACCTGGACCCTAGACCTGGACCTTGGACTTGGATCTGGATTTGTTTTATATCCCAAAAGGAACCATCCGTGCACTAATGATGCAGAATAAAGGGCAGTGAACGCTGAGCTTCCGGACTCTAACAACAGAAGATGACTGACTTTCAGCTGAAACTCAAAGTCCGAGACAAATGTAAGTTTCTTTAGGAGTTAGTCGCGGATTCAGGAACGACTGGTCCAAAGAGTTTGACGTATTCTCTTCAACAACAGCAGAAAATCCAACTTTACATGAATGTAGCGGTGTCTTTGCAGCGTGTGGCGAACTCAGGTACAATAGGGTCAGAGCTTTTCCTTTTACTTACGCAACAAACTAAAGTCCAGTGATCACAGGGCTCAGTGATCACAGGGCTCAGTGATCACAGGGCTCAGTGATCGTCAGGTGCTTATAGACGTCTTTGGTGCGGAGAACTATGTTAGCTGCTAATGGTCCCAGTGTCAAAGACCAGAAAGGCCCCAGTGCTTCCTCACACTACAGCACATGGTGTTACGCACTTGTCTCCATTCAGTTTAACAAGATCTGTGTCTGTGTGAGAGAGAGAGGAAGACCAGAAAGAGAGAGACCCCAGAGAGAGAGGGGAAGAGAGACTAGGAGACCAGAGTGAGACCGGAGAGAGACCAGAGAGAGAGACAGAGAGGAAGACCAGAAAGAGACCAGAGAGAGACCAGAGAGAGAGAGACCAGAGAGAGAGACAGAGAGGAAGACCAGAAAGAGACCAGAGAGAGAGAGAGACCAGAGAGAGACCAGAGAGAGACTAGGAGACTAGAGTGAGACCGGAGAGAGACCAGAGAGAGAGACAGAGAGGAAGACCAGAAAGAGAGAGAGACCAGAGAGAGAGGGGAAGAGAGACTAGGAGACCAGAGTGAGACCGGAGAGAGACCAGAGAGAGAGACAGAGAGGAAGACCAGAAAGAGACCAGAGAGAGACTAGGAGACCAGAGAGAGACCAGAGAGAGAGAGAGACCAGAGAGAGAGACAGAGAGGAAGACCAGAAAGAGACCAGAGAGAGACTAGGAGACCAGAGAGAGACCAGAGAGAGAGAGAGACCAGAGAGAGAGGGGAAGAGAGGGTGATCGGGAGAGAGAGAGAGAGACTAGGAGACCAGAAAGAGACCAGAGAGAGACCAGAGAGAGAGAGAGACCAGAGAGAGAGGGGAAGAGAGAGAGAGTGAGAAAGAGCGCATCAAAGAGGGAGAGAGAAATGTTTTGGCGTTAAATTGACTCTCACTCTGACTGGACTAAACTTGTACTTTTGCTAAAACACGTGACGTATTTTCTCCTTAAATGATTAATTCTCATCGTCCTCTGTCCCTGATCAAACACATTCAATACAGACCAGACCTGAAGAGTTCTTTCTCAAGGCCTGGATTACTCTTGGAAATGTAAAACTGTGAGAGAGACCGTGGACTATAATCTATTCTAAAACCTTTAAGTCGTAATGCAGTGACCGCTAATGTTTGGTTACATTTTAGATTCTTTAAACCAGATTCCAATGTCTGTTTATCACCAAAATGAACCAAAATGTACAAATCTTTCCAATGTCGACCAAGACCAGCGTCAAAACTCTTCAAAACCTCCAACGTCAGCTCTGCTCCTGAAGCTTTGAGACTTTAAATCCTCCGACAAATCTTTTCCCAAATCAGCAGAGAATCCAAGGAATCAATAGAGTCGTAGAGAAGAGCCGTGAGCATGAAGAAATCTGCCCAAGGCTCTGTTGTTTGTGATGCTAGCTGCTTTCAGAGGGCTTCCCAGGCTTTGCTAGCTAGCATGTGGAATTCTGAAACAGACATCTTCCTCTCATTTCCTTTGGTAGCTGTCCAGTGCTGATGGTTCTGTTATGCTAGCTGCTAACACGGCGGCTAGGCAGGTTTGGCTAGCATGCAGGATGTCCAAGTAACGGCCATTTCCTCTCCATGACATATGCAGGCGTCCGATGATTTGCCATTTGTGATGCTAGCTGCTACCGGAGGGAGAGGGCTAGCAGGTTCGGGTCTGTGCTCTCGGGGAGGGAACAGCCGGTGGGAGGGAGGGAACGGCGGGTGGGAGGGAGGGAACGGCGGGTGGGAGGGAGGGAACGGCGGGTGGGAGGGAGTGTGGGGCAAAAGGAGCTCACGAGACCGACGAGTCCACGAGACCAAGAGCAGAGAGAAAGACAAAGCAGGCAAAAGTGCAGAGATGCTTCGTCCGTGATGCTGAGGCTGCAGCTGGAGTGGAGAGATGTGAGGAGGAGAGGGAGGGGGAGGAGAGGGAGGGAGGAGAGGGAGGGAGGGAGTGGAGAGGGAGGGAGGGAGGGAGGGGGAGGAGAGGGAGGAGAGGGAGGGGGAGGAGAGGGAGGGAGGAGAGGGAGGAGAGGGAGGGAGGGAGTGGAGAGGGAGGGAGGAGGAGGAGAGGGAGGAGAGGGAGGGAGTGGAGAGGGAGGGAGGGGGAGGAGAGGGAGGGAGGGGGAGGAGAGGGAGGGAGGAGGAGGAGAGGGAGGAGAGGGGGAGGAGGAGGAGGGGGAGGCTGACTCCAGTGAACATGCCGTCATATTCAGCCAATGGGAAACCACACACGGCTCTGGCCAATAGGAGGACAGCGGCAGCAGTAGCAGCAGCAGCAGCAGCAGCAGCAGCAGCAGCAGCAGCAGCAGCAGCAGCAGCGGCGGCGGCAGCAGCAGCAGCAGCAGCAGCAGCAGCAGCAGCAGCAGCAGCAGCAGCAGCAGCAGCAGCAGTAGCAGCGGCAGCGGCAGCGGTAGCAGCAGCAGCAGCAGCAGCAGCAGCAGCAGCAGCAGTAGCAGCAGCAGCAGCAGCAGCAGCAGCAGCAGCAGCAGCAGCAGCAGCAGCAGTAGCAGCGGCAGTAGCAGCGGCAGCGGCAGCAGCAGCAGCAGCGGCAGCAGCAGCAGCAGTAGCAGCAGCAGCAGCAGCAGCAGCAGCAGCAGCAGCAGCAGCAGCAGCAGCAGCAGCAGCAGCAGCAGCAGCAGCAGCAGCAGCAGCAGCAGACGGGTGTTCTAGTGTTTGATGAAACAACCATGAGACTGATGTAACTTGAATAAGACCTTCTTCTGCACAAACATGACTCTCTCTGGTCTCTCGATCTCAGCTGACAGAGAACCTGACAGAGAACCTGACAGAGAACCTGACAGAGAACCTGACAGAGAACCTGACAGAGAACCTGACAGAGAACCTACAGCTTTCATAAAGGAGGATGTTAGTGTCCCTTGTCGTCCTGAACTTTTTTTCTTCTTAAATCCTTCGGTTTTGTTTAAATCCACACTTTAGTGCCACAAACTCTGCTCCTCTGGCTCTGGCTCTAACTCCCGCTCTGATGAACTGCTCTGATTGGTCAGAGCCGAGCCCCTCTGTGCACGTGCGTGAGACCCACACACGCGTGTTTGGTGCAACGCAGAGACACCGTGATCCTGAGGCCCATTGTTGCTCCCATAGACTGTAAACGGACAGAGTCAGTATCTCCGCCGTTCTAACTAAAAAATGTGCTCTACTGGAGCTATCCAAAATGGCAGCGAGTGGTCCCGCCCACAAGAACATTGTGAAAAAACACATCTGTCCATGCGTCAGCCGGAGCAGCCCCATTCATTTGAACGAGAGACTTCTAAAGTCCACAGCGACTAAACTAGACTGGTCCAGAACACTCAGCATTGACACACATGTGGAACGGAGCTTTGGGCCAAGAGACAACTTTGGGACCATCCTGTAAAGACGTTTCAGAGAGGTCTGCCAATGCTATATGTTAGCATCGGCTAATTGTTATTCTGGGTCCACCCCCACAGGCCCGGGGTGGTACTGCAGCATGTCACTTTTGAGCCGGGACACACTGGTTGCTTCGTACATCCATGAACATCATGTTTCAGCAGATAACGCAGGGCCCCATGTTGCATCTGTACAACATGGGCCCAACACCGGGATGTTTGGGATGTGCTTGAGCGGCGTATACGACAGTGTGCACCTGTTCACACTGATATCCAGCAGCAGAGCCATTGAAGAGGAGTGGGCCAAAATTCCACAGGCCACAATTGACAATCTGATAAAGTCCATGTAAGAAGATGTGTTGCACTGCATGAGGCAAATGCTCACACCAGATACTGACTGGTTCCGAGTCCCCAGACCCAGATACTGACTGGTTCCGAGTCCCCAGACCCAGATACTGACTGGTTCCGAGTCCCCAGACCCAGATACTGACTGGTTCCGAGTCCCCAGACCCAGATACTGACTGGTTCTGAGTCCCCAGACCCAGTGCTCACTATCACACATTTAGACAGATGGTGATAATGTGCATCTGGAATGAATTTAAGATCTTTAGGTTTTACATTGATCTGAAGAAGGATCAGAGAAACACAAACCTTCAGCAAAGCCAGAGCCACGTTGAAGATGATGTTCATTCCCTGAAAAGAGACAAAAGAATGAAACACACACACTCACATACACAGAAACACACACACACACAGATACACACAGGACACACAAAGAGACAGACACACACACACATACACACAAACACACACACAGTGACACACTGACACACACACACATACACAGAGACACACACATACACAGAGACACACACATACACAGAGACACACACACACACAGACACACAGAGACACACACACACATACACAGAGACACACACATACACACACACACACATACACAGAGACACACACACACAGAGACAGACACACACACACACACACACACTTCTCTCTCTGGTAACTCTCTGGTTGTGGCTCTTTTTCTGAGCAGGGCAGAGCCTGGTTAGTACTGTGATGGGAGACCTCTGGCAACAATGCCTAGAACGAGTCTTGTGTGTGTGTGTGTGTGCGTGTGCGTGTGCGTGCGTGTGCGTGTGCGCGTGTGTGTGAGTGTGTGTGTGCGTGCGTGCGTGTGAGTGTGTGTGTGTGTGTGTGCGTGTGCGCGTGTGTGTGAGTGTGTGTGAGTGTGCGTGTGCGTGCGTGTGCGCGTGTGTGTGAGTGTGTGTGTGCGTGTGTGCGTGCGTGCGTGTGAGTGTGTGTGTGTGTGTGCGTGCGTGCTGTAAACTGTAGAACATCATCCTTTGTGCGTCTCCACACATCTGTCAATAACATACAGATGGAGAGTCAGGGAACTCCCGTCTCCCAGGTCTCCATGACGACCAACGCTCATAGCAACAACAGCTAAAAATATCCGGCAACGCTATTAATAACTGAACTGAAGCTGTGTGCGTTTGGAGCCACCAGATGGAGCCACTGAGACACCAGAGAGATCACTGTACCAGGGACCAGGGACCAGGGACCAGAGAGAGACCAGAGAGAGACCAAGGAGAGAAATACCAGAAAGAGACCAGAGAGAGACTAGAGAGGGACCAGAAAGAGACCAAAGAGGGACCAGAGAGAGACAAAAGAGAGACCAAAGGGAGAAATACCAGAAAGAGACCAGAGAAAGACCAGGGGTAGACCAGAGAGGGACCAGAGAGACCAGAAAGAAATACCAGAAAGAGTGACCGGAGAGAGACCAGAGAGGGACCAAAGAGGGACCAGAGAGACCAGAGAGAGACCAGAAACTAAAGTGAGCGTGTGATTGACAGTTTCAGAAATAGCAGCAACGGAAACAGAGTAAACAGAGACAATGGGGAAAGTTGGAGCCGACGACGGAAATGAGTTTAAACAAGAAACAATCTCATCATGCGGCTCAGTGAAGCACGAGGAGAGAGACCAGGACGAGCTGCTGTCGAGCTGGTACGAAAGTGCTCTAACTGACAGTGATTGGACTGGTCCCTTCCATTGGTCTCTCTCTCTGGGCTCTCTCTCTGGTCTCTCTCTGGTCTCTCTCTCTGGTCTCTCTCTGGGCTCTCTCTTTGGGCTCTCTCTTTGGGCTCTCTCTCTGGTCTCTCTCTCTGGGCTCTCTGGTCTCTCTCTCTGGGCTCTCTCTGGGCTCTCTCTCTGGTCTCTCTCTGGTCTCTCTCTGGGCTCTCTCTGGTCTCTCTCTCTGGGCTCTCTCTCTGGTCTCTCTCTGGGCTCTCTCTTTGGGCTCTCTCTCTGGGCTCTCTCTGGGCTCTCTCTGGTCTCTCTCTCTGGGTTCTCTCTCTGGTCTCTCTCTGGGCTCTCTCTTTGGGCTCTCTCTCTGGGCTCTCTCTGGTCTCTCTCTCTGGGCTCTCTCTGGTCTCTCTCTCTGGGCTCTCTCTGGGCTCTCTCTCTGGGCTCTCTCTCTGGCCTCTCTCTCTGGCCTCTCTCTCGGGTGTCTCTCGGGTGTCTCTCTGGGCTCTCTCTCTGGGCTCTCTCTCTGGTCTCTCTCTCTGGTCTCTCTCTCTGGTCTCTCTCTCTGGTCTCTCTCTCTGGCCTCTCTCTCGGGTGTCTCTCGGGTGTCTCTCTGGGCTCTCTCTCTGGGCTCTCTCTCGGGTGTCTCTCGGGTGTCTCTCGGGTGTCTCTCTGGGCTCTCTCTCTGGGCTCTCTCTCGGGTGTCTCTCGGGTGTCTCTCTGGGCTCTCTCTCTGGGCTCTCTCTCTGGGCTCTCTCTCTGGTCTCTCTCTCTGGTCTCTCTCTCTGGTCTCTCTCTCTGGTCTCTCTCTCTGGTCTCTCTCTCTGGCCTCTCTCTCGGGTGTCTCTCGGGTGTCTCTCTGGGCTCTCTCTCTGGGCTCTCTCTCTGGTCTCTCTCTCTGGACTCTCTCTCTGGTCTCTCTCTCTGGTCTCTCTCTCTGGCCTCTCTCTCGGGTGTCTCTCGGGTGTCTCTCTGGTCTCTCTCTCTGGTCCCTCTCTCTGGTCTCTCTCTCTGGCCTCTCTCTCGGGTGTCTCTCTGGTCTCTCTCTCTGGTCTCTCTCTGGTCTCTCTCTCTGGTCTCTCTCTCTGGGCTCTCTCTCTGGGCTCTCTCTCTGGTCTCTCTCTCTGGTCTCTCTCTCTGGTCTCTCTCTCTGGTCTCTCTCTGGTCTCTCTCTGGTCTCTCTCTCTGGTCTCTCTCTCTGGTACCTCACATAGTAGCAGGTCAGTGATGTGGAAGACCATGCAGAGAGGGAACTTGGCAGTGAAGAGTGTGAGGAACCATTGGGAAGCGAACATATGACCCTCTAGACTCAGCTGCTGGAAGTGACTCCACAGGTCTGGGATCTGCTCCTGAGGACACACAACACACACAGGTCAACACACAACACCTGGTCTGGTCTTTTTCTAGTCTCTCTCTGGTCTCTCTCTGGTCTCTCTCTGGTCTCTCTCTGGTCTCTCTCTGGTCTCTCTCTCTCTGGTCTCTCTCTGGTCTCTCTCTGGTCTCTGGTCTCTCTCTGGTCTCTGGTCTCTCTCTGGTCTCTGGTCTCTCTCTGGTCTCTGGTCTCTCTCTGGTCTCTGGTCTCTCTCTGGTCTCTCTCTCTCTCTGGTCTCTGGTCTCTCTCTGGTCTCTGGTCTCTCTCTGGTCTCTCTCTCTCTCTCTCTGGTCTCTCTCTGGTCTCTCTCTGGTCTCTGGTCTCTCTCTGGTCTCTCTCTGGTCTCTCTCTGGTCTCTCTCTGGTCTCTCTCTGGTCTCTCTCTGGTCTCTGGTCTCTCTCTGTTTTCTGGTCTCTCTCTGGTCTCTGGTCTCTCTCTGGTCTCTCTCTGGTCTCTCTCTCTGGTCTCTGGTCTCTCTCTGGTGTCTCTCTCTGGTCTCTGGTCTCTCTCTGGTCTCTCTGGTCTGTGGTCTCTCTCTGGTCTCTCTCTGGTCTCTCTCTCTGGTCCCTGGTCTCTGGTCTCTCTCTGGTCTCTATCTCTGGTCTCTCTCTCTGGTCCCTGGTCTCTCTCTCTGGTCTCTGGTCTCTCTCTTGTCTCTGGTCTCTCTCTGGTCTCTCTCTCTGGTCTCTGGTCTCTGGTCTCACTGGTCTCTCTCTGGTCTCTGGTCTCACTGGTCTCTCTCTGGTGTCTCTGGTCTCTCTCTGGTGTCTCTGGTCTCTCTCTGGTCTCTCTCTCTGGTCTCTGGTCTCACTGGTCTCCACACCTGCATGAGTTTTTCCAGTTGGTAGAACTTGCAGTGCAGATCCTCAAAGTTGTTCTTGTAGAGAGTCCTGAGGCCGTACTGGAACATGATCTTCACCAGGACACAGAAGGCCTGCTCCTCCGGCATCTGCCAAACACCATCAAAGACCATCAAATATCCACATGGTTCATCTGCTGTCAATGTCACTGCCACTCTGGTTTCTCTCTCTGGTGTCTCTCCCTCTCTCTCTGCTCCTTCTCTCTGGTTTCTTTCTCTGGTCTCTCTTTGGTGTCCCTCTAGTCCTTCTCTCTGGTGTCTCGCTCTGGTCTCTCGCTCTGGTCTCTCTGGTGTCTCGCTCTAGTCTCTCTCTCTGGTGTCTCTCTCTGGTGTCTCGCTCTGGTGTCTCGCTCTGGTCTCTCTGGTGTCTCGCTCTAGTCTCTCGCTCTGGTCTCTCTGGTGTCTCGCTCTGGTCTCTCTGGTGTCTCGCTCTAGTCTCTCTCTGGTGTCTCTCTCTGGTGTCTCGCTCTGGTGTCTCGCTCTGGTGTCTCGCTCTGGTGTCTCGCTCTGGTGTCTCGCTCTGGTCTCGCTCTGGTCTCGCTCTAGTCTCTCGCTCTGGCCTCTCTGGTGTCTCGCTCTGGTCTCTCTGGTGTCTCGCTCTGGTCTCTCTGGTGTCTCGCTCTAGTCTCTCGCTCTGGTGTCTCGCTCTGGTGTCTCGCTCTGGTCGCTCTGGTGTCTCTCTCTGGTGTCTCGCTCTAGTCTCTCGCTCTGGTGTCTCGCTCTGGTCGCTCTGGTGTCTCTCTCTGGTGTCTCGCTCTGGTGTCTCGCTCTGGTCGCTCTGGTGTCTCTCTCTGGTGTCTCGCTCTAGTCTCTCGCTCTGGTGTCTCGCTTTGGTCGCTCTGGTGTCTCTCTCTGGTGTCTCGCTCTAGTCTCTCGCTCTGGTGTCTCGCTCTGGTCGCTCTGGTGTCTCTCTCTGGTGTCTCGCTCTGGTGTCTCGCTCTGGTGTCTCTCTCTGGTGTCTCTCTCTGGTGTCTCTCTCTGGTGTCTCTCTCTGGTGTCTCTCTCTGGTGTCTCTCTCTGGTGTCTCTCTCTGGTCTAAATGACAAGGTGTCAAGTCCGTAAACCAGGGATGGATCCAGTAAAAGTCCACATCATGGACCTATAATAATATCTGGATTATCTTATAGCAGTCCCACCCACGGCCACAGGGGGCGCTGTGGTACCGCAGACTACACAGAAAAAGTTACATAGAACTGAATGTAAATCAAAACAGCTCGACCTCAGCTGACAGAGAACCTGACAGAGAACCTACAGCTTTCATAAAGGAGGATGTTAGTGTTCCTTGTCGTCCTGAACTTTTTTTCTTCTTAAATCCTTCGGTTTTCTTTAAATCCACACTTTACTGCCACAGACTCTGCTCATTTCCTTCCTGCTCTGACTCCGCTCTGATCAGCTCTGATTGGTCAGAACACTGCCCTCTGATTGGTCAGAACACTGCCCTCTGATTGGTCAGAACACTGCCCTCTGATTGGTCAGAACACTGCCCTCTGATTGGTCAGAACACTGCCCTCTGATTGGTCAGAACGCTGCCCTCTGATTGGTCAGAACGCTGCCCTCTGATTGGTCAGAACACTGCCCTCTGATTGGTCAGAGCGCGGCCGAGCCCCTTTGTGCGCGTGCATGAGAGCCACACACACGTATTTGGCGCAAAGCATCATGGGAGCTCGTCCACTGCACAGAACCGGGAGGACCAGAGAAATGACCAAATATGGGCGAGTTCCTCTGATCTCTGGGTCCTGTACGTCCCAGACACTACTGAGCACAAGACATTCATTTGGACAGGACGCCATCTTGGATCAGCAGGGACTGGTCCACATAGTGTCTCTGTACCATCAGAGCACCTCCCTCTGTACCAGGAGTACACCTCCCTCTGTACCATCAGAGCACCTCCCTTAGTACCAGGAGTACACCTCCCTCTGTACCATCAGAGCACCTCCCTTAGTACCATCAGAGCACCTCCCTCTGTACCAGGAGTACACCTCCCTCTGTACCATCAGAGCACCTCCCTCTGTACCATCAGAGCACCTCCCTCTGTACCATCAGAGCACCTCCCTCTGTACCATGAGAGTACCTCCCTCTGTACCATCAGAGCACCTCCCTCTGTACCATCAGAGCACCTCCCTCTGTACCATCAGAGCACCTCCCTCTGTACCATCAGAGCACCTCCCTCTGTACCATGAGAGTACCTCCCTCTGTACCATCAGAGCACCTCCCTCTGTACCATCAGAGCACCTCCCTCTGTACCATCAGAGTACCTCCCTCTGTACCATCAGAGCACCTCCCTCTGTACCAGGAGCAGAGAGAGGAGGTGCTTGATGGTACCGTGTCCTCTGTGGCTCAGGACACTGTGACAGTAAAAGCTCTGGCTCTGGTTCAAAACTCACATTTGTATTCCTCACACTCTCTCCTCTGTCTCCTCCTCACACCCTCTCCTCTGTCTCCTGTCTCCTCCTCTGTCTCCTCCACTGTCTCCTCCTCTGTCTCCTGTCTCCTCCTCTGTCTCCTCCTCTGTCTCCTCCTCTGTCTCCTCCTCACACTCTCTCCTCTGTCTCCTCCTCACACTCTCTCCTCTGTCTCCTGTCTCCTCCTCTGTCTCCTCCTCACACTCTCTCCTCTGTCTCCTGTCTCCTCCTCACACTCTCTCCTCTGTCTCCTCCTCTGTCTCCTGTCTCCTCCTCACACCCTCTCCTCTGTCTCTCCTCTGTCTCCTCCGTCTCCTCCTCACACTCTCTCCTCTGTCTCCTCCTCTGTCTCCTGTCTCCTCCTCACACCCTCTCCTCTGTCTTCTCCTCTGTCTCCTCCGTCTCCTCCTCACACTCTCTCCTCTGCTCCTCTGTCTCCTCCTCTGTCTCCTGTCTCCTCCTCACACCCTCTCCTCTGTCTTCTCCTCTGTCTCCTCCGTCTCCTCTCTCACACTCTCTCCTCTGTCTCCTCTGTCTCCTCCTCTGTCTCCTCCTCACACTCTCTCTCTGTCTCCTCTGTCTTCTCCTCTGTCTCCTCCTCACACTCTCTCCTCTGTCTCCTCTGTCTCCTCCTCTGTCTCCTCCTCACACTCTCTCCTCTGTCTCCTCCTCTGTCTCTCCTCACACTCTCTCCTCTGTCTCCTCCTCTGTCTCCTCCTCACACTCTCTCCTCTGTCTCCTCCTCACACTCTCTCCTCTGTCTCCTCTGTCTTCTCCTCTGTCTCCTCCTCACACTCTCTCCTCTGTCTCCTCTGTCTCCTCCTCTGTCTCCTCCTCACACTCTCTCCTCTGTCTCCTCCTCACACTCTCTCCTCTGTCTCCTCCTCTGTCTCCT